TGTGGCTGCGAAGTGCAGCAGCAGAAGACTGCTGGGATCTTTTTCCTAAGTACTTCTTTTATTTATTTTATTTTTAAATTTCTTTTTATTTATTGATTTATTTTATTTCTTTTTTATTTATTTTTGTTCCTTTTTTCTTTGTTTTTGTTTTGTATTTCTTTTTCTTTTTTTGTTTCTTTTTGTTTCTTTTGATTTTTTCTGTTGTTTCTTTATTTGTTTCTTTTTTGTTCCTTTTCTCTTCTGTTTCTTGTTTCTTTTTTGTTCCTTTTCTCTTCTGTTTCTTTTTATTTCTTTTTATTTCTCTTATTATCTTTTTTTCCTTTTAGTATCTCTTTGTTTTTTCTATTCCCTTTTAGTCTCTTTTTGTTTCCTTTTTTTCTCTTTGTATCTTTTTGTTTGTTTTATTATCTTTTTGTTTCTTTTTAATTCTTTTTGTTTCTTTCGTTTCTTTTAATTTTGTTTCTCTCAACCTCATTTTGTTTATTTTAATCTCATTCTGTTTCTTTTATTATCTTTTTGTTTCTTTTTTATTCTTTTTATTTCTTTTATTATTATTTTGTTTTTTATTGTTTCTTTTGTCTCTTTTGTTATCTTTTTGTTTCCTCTAATCTTTTCTTATTTCTTTTATTATCTTTTTGCTTTTTTATTTCTTTTATCTTTTTGTCTTTTTGTTTTTTTCAGCTGCCCCTCTGGGCCTTAGGAGAGGCTCTCTTAGCTGCAGCCCTCAGGCCCCTTCAGCTCTGGCTAATTTGGCTAGCTAGCTAGCTAGCTAGCTAATTTAGCTAGCTAGCTGGCTAGATTAGCTAGCTAGCTAGCTAGCTAGCTAGCTCAGCTAACTAGCTAGCTAGCTCGATTGGCTAGCTAGCTAGCTATGTTAAATAGCTTGCTGCTGTCTCCAGGGAGCAAGAGAATCAAAGCGGACAGCGCGCGCTCGCAGCTGGCAGTGGCAGCAGCAGCACCATGCTGCTGCTGTTGCTGCTGCTGCTGTTGCTGCTGCTGTTGCTGCTGCTGTTGTTGTTGCTGCTACTGTTGCTGCT